GGGGGCAGTGTACCAATTATATGGACTATATAGGTACGTACAGCCCAAAAGGGTATGGTTTTTAGTCTCTCTTGAATAGTAATATTGGATTAGTCACTCTATTCTTGAATCAGGTATTTTTTACAGGAAGCTACCTTTTTAACAAAAGCCCCTCACAAAGTCTTTAACATTAGTCTAAACTAGGGAACTAATTATAAGGCAGGTCTGAAACAGGATATTGATAGGTAGGGTATCAAATTTTTGGTCAGGTCATAAATGGGGTAGGGGAAATCATAGATTTTGGCCTTAAATGGGGTAAGGGTTTTGAGAAGCAGGCTGCACACCCCTTCTCAATTTTTCTGGAAGTACACCCCTGGTTAAAAGTGAGTGAGTGAAAAAGATTCTGCAATTCATAACTGCTCAGAACATCTGTTACAGACATCCTGAACAAATTGTGGACTTGTTAACTAGAAATTTCAAATGAGGTGATAGATGAATTCTACAAGTAACTTATTATTAACAACATTTTATCACTCACCTTGGTGGTATGGACACACCAGGAGGCACACTGAAACAAAGTCCTGATTGAATAGAACCACCACCAACAAAATTGATTTTTTTGCATAAAATTAACATAAAAAATATTTATTCATTTATGTTTACTTAGTAGTTTGCATGTTGCTGGGGTTTTGCCCATCACCATAGCTGTTGGTGCATTGTTATTAAGCCACACCCGCAGCTTACTGCAGTTTCCCTCGTGTATGCATGCCTCGTTGTCATAAATGTTTATAATCTTGTGCTTGTTTGTGACCTTTTGTCTTGTTCAGTATTGTGACATTAAACCTGAAGTTCATCTCAGTTTATTGGCATATTTAAAATACCATTTATGTAGTTTGGTCTTGTTTAGCAGGGCGTTCATGTGCAAGTATATTTAATTCAACATATCATGGAAACATACCATGTGCCTGTCTAGGTCCATGATAGGGATCTTGACCAATTATGACAACTTTAATCTGAAATTTCAAGAAAATGGGTGGACTTGTCACATTAAGCTTGTTATTATACTTGACCTCTCTCCTCTACTCTATTTTTAGTCAAGTACAAAAATAATTTTTTAAGTCAAATGACCTACCTCATGAATTTCACACTGGAGAGTCCAACTGAACACATCCTTTTCTATATTGAATGAATTTTATAAAGACAATAACATGAACATTGAATTAAAGCCAAATTTATGTCTCAATTACCTAAGTTGACCAAACCTTGTTTAGCACAATTCAGTTGGCTAATAGGAATTAATGATTTACATGTCATTTGTTCAGAATCCCTCCCAAAATGCAAGCAAGTGTACCATTTTACCATGAATTATGGCCAAACCTTTTGAAACAAAGCCATCAATATATGAGTTAAATAAAATTCTGTGATTAGATACTGGCTTGCACTATATGTTTGTAACCGTGTTTGATGATTGAATTAGGACTTCAACCTCTAGCAAACTGGCAGCCAAATGAATACACCAATACTACAGTTTAACACAGATCCTGTGTCATATTTATCATGATAATCTTGAGAAAAAGAACACTTTTTTTAGATCCAGGAACCATCTGCTACCCCTGGGGTACTCTGTAAATCTTTGGGTGGGGGTGTGCCATTGGGACACTGAAACCCTTACCCTATACTAGACCATGATTAGCTTGAATTTGCCAACCTATTCTAGACTAGGTACCAAAACCCCTACCCTATCCCTGAGACTAGCTACTTTCCAAGCAGAAACTTTATCATTATCATAATCCAACATATGCAAACTAAACCAATATCTCACACAGTCACTTCTGAGTTTCATTTTCTATTATAGGACTGGACCTCAGGTAAAGAACCCTGTTCTAGCCTAAATTATTAATACACAGGCCACTTTCCTGGTAAATTATAACCAATTCTAAACCAAAACTGGCTGATTACTGTACCCCTATCCTAGACTAAACTGCCTGAAAACCACACCCTTCACAGCTTATATAATTATGTGAGTACCNCTTAGCCTATACCAGAGCTAGTTCAGCTGAATTTTGCTAACCTATACTAGAGTAAACTCCCCAAATCCCCCCATCTGTCAACACTGTTGAGGCTGATTTGTGCAAATTTAAACTTGCCGATTTGATTTTTTTATATTTTTGAGTGGCAATTCCTGGTTTCCTTACTCTATAGATAAAATCTTCAACCAACCAGTCAGTTTTGTGAAAAATGATACCCTATCCTAGACCCAAACGCTTTGATTTATATACCCTATCCTAGAGTAAAATGCTTGGAAACCATACCCTTCACAGCGGCACATACCTACTTAGCCCATATATGGCAGTGCCCCCCCGCCCCCGGGCCATGGGATCTAACAGTCTAGCGATTGTTTGTGGCTTACCTGAAGGATAAACCGTCCTGCGGGATCTTTCCTCCTTAACAAAATTGCTAAGCTGACAAAAGAAACAATCAGTGAACGAGGTTAATCCTGTTTGGAACCTTTTAGTAACTTACGATTGCAAATATAAAGTTAAGCTTAAGTTGAACTCAGGATCAACAAACTGTAAACTGGGTACGTACTTTCACGAAATATTCCTTGTTGAATTCTGCCCCTAAAGCTTTTTTCCAGGAAGCTCCGAAGAACTGGGGACTTTTACTGGCAAGTAATTTCTTTCGCGCTTCTTCTCGATTGGCCTCCATTCGTGCTCTTTGCTCAGGTGAAAGATTCGACACTGGTCGCTTAGAGCTCGAGTTTGCACTTGGCGAAGTTTCATCTGTCTTCGAGGACTTGTTTTGCGGCGAATCATTCGTTACACCAGCATCGTCTGCAGTTCTTTTAGTGCCCAAAGTGTTAAAAAAGCTGGAAATCGTCTTCTGTGTTGGCATTTTTCAGCCGAACTGGTCACAAACTGCCAAATCGAACCACTGATCAAAGAAATCAAATGACTCGTGAAGGACCAAGTATATTTTGGGACATTTTTCCCGCCATTTGTGAACCAATAGAAATGTAGTTGCGTGAGAAGCCTGGAACAGAGAGAAGAACAGTAGTCCGCCATATTGGATTTTGCGGTGTGGGTTTCTGACATGTTCCGGATTAAAAGTGTAAGAGCGCCGTTATTTCAGACGTTTTCAAAGATATCTAGACCAGCTCCTTTACAGGTTTGTTTTCGCAGTTACTCAGCGTAATTTTCCTGATCATGAGATGAAAGAGGAATGTGCAAATTTGATTTGTCCACCTGTTTTACGTTCTATCCGTGTTGTATTGATTAAGCTTACTCTTATTTAGGGCCGAATATCTTCGACAAGCAAATCCTTTCAATCAGAATTGAGAAGATGTAAATCAACAACGGCAGATCCCTCTAAGTAAGTTCAATAAAGTAATTAAAAAGTAATATAACCAAGTTGCTGCAGTATAAAGCTGGTCTACGCTCTAAATCAGTTAACTTCAGCTCGTTCCAATAGCGCCCGTCACCTCCCCAGAGAAGAACCGAAAAGAGGAGGGGCAATAGTGGGGAGTGGATCAGGCATATTGTAATAATGTTGGTCTTCCGTGGGCCAAGCATAGTCAATCAATTAAAATCAATATCAGAAATCAATTGATTCAATCAATATCAATATCAATGTCTCTGATTGCTATTGATTGATGTCTGCAATCGATAATAATCTAACTCATGTAAAAAAAGCACCTACATTACAGTTGGTTCTAGAGAAACCACTTATTTTCATAGAGGTAGGGGTGTAAATATGACACTTGTTTTTCGAGGGGTTCATCATTTTTATATTTTAACAACTCCATCGCTAAATGGAGGTTGGGTGCCTGAGACATCCAGGAGCTTCCACTACTGGCAGCCAACTCCTAGATGAAATCTGCTCCCATGGCTGGCAAATCCTGGAAACTGAGCCATGAGCCCCCACGCCAAGCCTGAGGACCTCCAAGCAACGCATGCTCTGAGAAAGAGGGGTTCGTGGCGAAGGAAACCCAGAACCCCAAGAAAAAACGCCCAATCCGAAGGCACCCAATGAGCAGCAAAATAAAGCATCCTTCATCTGAAACAGGCAACAGTAAACACGCTGAAACACCATGCCACACCTGAGCTGAAGAGGCAACAGTAAAACATGTTGAAACGCCACGCTATGCCTGAACTGAACAAGCAACAGTAAACATGCTGAAATGCCATGCTACGCCAGAACTGAACAGCTGAGCAGACAACAGTAAACACCTTGAACTACCACACTATGCCTGAATTGAACAGGCAACAATAAAACACACTGATATGCCATGCTACCTGCAACAATAATCACACAGGAAAGCCACGCTACGCTTAAACTAAACTGGCAACAGTAATTGTGCAACAAATTATGCCACACCAGAACCTGAACAGAGTAGGCAGTAACGCTAAAATAAAATATCAACATACCAACTGTTGTTGAAGTTGATCTGGAGAGTTCAGCATAGTGTTGCACTTACCTCGTAGCTGACATTTAACTAACTGGCAAGGTGAATTTACACTCGTTATCCATAGTCAATGCACGATATTCTGGGAGGGGAACGTCCAAGATAGTTGACCAGACAGCAGATCAGAAAGCCATCAATATTCAACATGCAAATTCTTCAGTTCCTTGCCCCCAAGTGGGGGATTGGGCCAGAGATGAGTTGCCTCCATCTATCCCTTTTCTTGGCAACAGAAGTAACTGCGACCCATGTCAACATGTGAATAAACGCAGGAAAATGCCAAGGCCATGTTATGCCCCAACTGAACAGACAACAGTAAACATGCTGATCGCCACACTACACCTCAGCTGAACTTGACAGCTGTAAACACCTTGCTGAAAAAATGCAATCCTCTGCTTAAGTGAAACAGGCAACAGTAATCAAATAACAATGCCACACAGTGCCTAAACTTAACAGGCAATAATTATGCGGCGGAAATGCCATGCTATGCCTAAACTGAACATGTGAACAATTATGCCACATAAAATCTAAGTTAAACGGGGAAATATAATCACACAGA